GCTAAAACCGGAAAAAAAGAGAAAACAATTTACGTGCGAAAGATGACAAGTGCGGAAAGGTGTCTTAAGCGATGGCAAATGCAACAGGAGCAAAACTGAATGCTTATAAGCTTAATAAGTGTTGTGATATGAGACGATTTGCATGACTCTTGTACTGAAAACGGCGAATTTTTATTTTATTTTAAATTTGAATTAATAAAAAACTTTAAGTATTTTAGCAAGTATTTCTCAAGTGATACTTAATGGGGAAATTATAATTAAAGTATAGAAGATGTATAAAACCCGGGATTTAGCATATAACTAAAACGTACTTTGGAAATTATAATAGCTCAATCTGACGGAACAAAAGGTCTTTACAAACTTGGTACAGTTATACATTTATCCAGCAAATTGTAGATTCTGCGAAGAGAATGAAGAGTCAGCAATACAGGTATGCTAATACTCCTGAATGGAAGCACTGGTGCTGGTGTATATGAACCCAACACCAGAATTTTGGAGGCAATAAGCACATGGCCGAGAATCGTTCAATATCTTCAAAAAAACTGTTTGGCTCGAGAATTGTTATTTATTCTGACAGCCTGGTTGTCACAGCTTTTAAAGCTGTGTCTTCTTGAACTTTGAAGTCGAGCTTCTACATTTACTTGCAGTTCGGGATAAGGTAAGCCTTTGTTGGGTTCCGGGTCACAGGGGAATTTTGAGAAATGAACACGCTAATGAGCTACCCAGAACTGCCCTCAATCCTTTTATGGGTTAAACTGGGTTAGTACAAAACAAATTATCAAGGAGAGGGAAAATCGTATGCTGCTGGAATTCTGGAAAGACTTAGATAAAGCAAAGCACTGATAAAGCTGTACTCCTACAAAAACGTTCTTAAATTCTCAAAATATAATTTAAGGTTGATAACGGGTTTCATTACAGTTCATTATGGTCTGTAATACAGCTTATGCCTCTAAGACGAGAAAACTATGTAGATTTAATAATGCACGGAAGAAACTTGTTTCATGTGGAATTTCTGTCACCAGAACAGATTAAGAGCTCTTCTCTAAATTTAGTTCAGGAGTTTGTTCGAAAGCTTTAAAGGGTTTTGTGTAATCAATAGCGAAATTAGTGCAATAGTACTCTTCTGGCCGTACTAATGGTAGTTAGGCGATTATACGTCAAAACTTTAATAATAATAATAACAATACTCCTAGGAATGTATATCCTTACGGAAGACTCTTCCTACTTTGATCTGTAAAGTAGGTTCTGTACTATTTTTAATTGAATCAATGACCCGATGGGCGGAGCGTCACATCCACGCTTAATAACAAATAAATAAACTCATATAGAGAGACTGAATGTAATATGATACATAAAATCCTAGCACTGGAAGTGACTCGGGAATGTGTGAAGAATCTTTCCAAAGTAATTGTCAATGTAAGCACAACTAAGAGAACGATTGGTCGGCATGATAGAGAAAGGTCAGGATATGAAGAATTGATGATGCACTAGAATGTTTTGACAAAATTGAAAAAGAAATAAGTAAGCGTTATAAGTGAAGTCTTATGTTGAAGTATAAGATAAATATATAAGATATATAATTTAAAATATTTATATTTTATTAATAACTTGGTTTAATATATAAATCGCCCTGGTATATTATTTCTTAAAATTCACTACTGCTTTCAACTGCAATTAGAGAACTCTTACTTTGAGTAAGAGTGCGTAAATAAAAACTTCTGCGGGAAAACTCTGCACAAGTGTATACGTCGGGAAGGCTTTTTACTGCAAATTAAACTCTTTGAGTATAATTCACAACAACCTCGTTGTTTTAGATGCTAACTCCGTTCTGGCTTTTATTATTAAAAAGTAACTTATTTAACTTAAAATCTAGCTTTTACTTGAATATTAAAAAATATTTAAAAGAATTATTCTTACAGCACTTCTAGTCTTACACTACTAGTCTTACTATTTTCTTTTATTATAGAAGGGGATTAACTCTATATTAAATTTTTCTAAAATGCACGTTTTTTGAATTTACCCCAAACATGTTACGTTTATACCTCCTACGCCAATTTTTTCCCTTTTTGGCCTTTGCACTAATAAATGTCTTTGACCTGGTACCACATCCATTACCTGAGAACTTGACTTTCCATTGCCGCAAATTGCGCAATTGCACGCAATCAAAATTAAAAATTTATCAAAAACATTTTGTTTCGAATTTCAGTACGAAATTACAGTTGCAAGCAGTTAATTGCTGAATTAGTAAATTTCTTAAAGTTTATTAAGTGCCAATTACCGAGGCCAGAATACAAGGCCACTTAAGGATACTTAGGCATGCACATGAAAATTGAATTAACAAATTATGGCAGAATGAAATCGAACGATTAATTAGCAAAACAAATTAATTCATTAAAATTTGCAGTTGACTTAAGGTAACAGCTGCACTTTGTGACTAAACAATTTAAATGTTATAATTAAATTACATTTTTAATTAGTTTTTAATCGAAATATGTTGGCATGTCAAACACATTCAATACTCTTGTCCTGATATCGTAACATCAATGTGTTTTAATATTCCATATGAGGACTATACGTATCCTACTAAATACTTATAACTTATGATATAACTTACAGTTATATGACTTATGTGAAAGCAAATAGGCAAGCTTTTACAGCATAATAAACAATTAGACAAATATTGATACCAATTAAAGGAAAAGGAAAAGCGATAGCCAGAGATTCCAGTCATTAATGAAGTAAACTAATAGTTGTAAAAGGATCATTCCTTGTTAAAAATATCAACCAGCATAAAATATCGATGGCTGAAATCCCATTCCAGAAAAAAAGCATGCTTCCACACCATAGATGATATGAAATTAGACGATTATATTACCATTAACCATTAAACAAGTAAAATTATAACTGTGAACGAACTACAAAAAAGGTTAGGACATACTGCGATAGACAAGGACTAACTCAATCGAAAGTGAGAGTTGTCGACTTTTCATTACGCTACATTTCAATATCCTACTCAACTCAAGAACGTATAACTAAATATGTAATATTCGGCATATCTGTATTTAGTACATTTCAAGTTTTGTTAGCTCACAACCTAACTCAATTTAGGGATACTACTCTTCGGAAGGAGAAAAAGGGAAGAAAAGCAGTATATTAGCAAAAATCTTTTTGTCTTGAAATATTTGAGAGTTATGTTGATGTTAATATCATATACCACCTGATAGACACTACCAACAGTGTGCTTAAAGCATTGGGTGCGAAAATCAGGTAAAATGATAAAACTACTAAAAAACGGATGGACGATTATGTATTCGCACATGTGTGAATACAAAGCCTTATACTTAAACGAAGTATATAAAAAATTATTAATTGAAAATGGATATAAATTACATTAATACCATAAATACTAGAGAATACGCAGCATAAAAGAGCTGTATTGCTCTGCTCCGTCGGGAGCTAGTACCCCGTTTATTCCTATACTACTAGAGAATACCCTTGTAAATAAAGACACTGACCCGTAAAAGACTTCTGCTTTTTGTTAAGAGTAAACTGTTACACAAACATGAGGCTTCAATCGACTAAAACTACCTCTTCGGAGCGAATTGCGAAAAAATATAACCGATTGTTTCATAAACAGTCATTGGTTTACATTTCATTCAAGAGAAATAGAAGTGGTCAATACGAAAAATGTTTAGCAAACTAAATTCTTCTAATTCAAATAGTCTGAGAGGCAAATTGGATGGTTTTACTTGGTAGGGGTTAGATTCAACTACTTATGGTATATACGTTCTGAATCGTATGGTTTGCGGTTATGGAATAAATGGAAATTAAGTAACATTGAATCTCATCTATATAGAATAAAATGAATTGTAGAAACTTGTACCTCAAATATTGACATAAATCAGGATTTATACATTCATTGAAGAATTGTCCGTACTAATAACTTTAACATTCTACAGACAACTACAGACAAACAATTCTGAATTATCTGGACGATTGCTATAAAGTTAGTTACCAAAACCTCTGGATTAAAGGCAAGTTTTAATCACATCTGGCGAGATCCAAGTACCTATCAGGTGATGAAAGGAGAAAACAAATTACCAAATGATATGCTTATAATAAGTATTTTTAATTTAGCAATTAAGGTTATTGTGTTAGTGAAGCTTAATATATCAGAAACTGATATTCTTATTCATACTATGTTTAAGACGGACAAAGTGGTACGAGGGATATAATAAATATTTTTAATTTAGCAATTGACGTTATTTAGTTAGTGAAGCTTAATATTTCTGGAAGTGTTATTCTTCTTCATTCTATCTTTAAGAGGGACGAAGTGATACGAGGTGTTTCTTATTTGGGTATCAGCTATTTGAAACTAATGTTCATTTTAACAGAAAAAAAGTGAAAATCGAAATTTGATTCATATATTTAAAATTAATGCTTTAAGGATATATCTTCTTCTTTCTGCAATAGTTGAAAAAATATATGAGAGTGGAAATTTATTTTAATTTTATTTTATTTTTCTATTCACCTTTCAATAAAACAATAAAATAAATTGAATACTTTCAACAGAACGAAATGCATCGGAGCATCAATACTGCATAGAATTGGCTTGTGTTAATATCCTTTTCGACAACACCGAATTAACTAAAATATCTACAAGAATCTATCTCATTCACTTTCAACTCGTAATTTTGTAATTTATTTGTGCATTTGTTTTGAACTTTATTCCTTTGTTTCTTTTGTCTTCCCAAATGCAATAAAGTTTACAAGCCAAAATTGGTACAATACCAGGAGATATCCTGTTAATTTCCTCCTTCTTGTCGTATGTTGGTTGCTTCACAAGACGTTATCGCGAGGAGCTACAACACAAAATGTGGATGCCGAGTTTCTGTAAAATTCAGGTAAAATAGAAGAAAAAAGAGAAAAAGCCTTGATTTATTATTTGGCAAATTAAATTTGTACTATCTTTTAATTTTTTTTTTTGTGTCTATTTTGGTATGCAGCCAGCGATTCCTTACACGGATGGTGTGGACTCGTTAACATTACTATCAGATGATGCACAAATTGCAACGTGGAATAATGAAGGGTTGCCAATGGATCGCATGTCAACTGAAAACGCAACAATACTAGCACATTCTACACGTTGGCCGCTCATGATCGATCCACAATTGTGAGTGAAATCGTGCAAATAGGAGGAATATCGATATTTTTACTATTTTGAAAAATTATATATCGAAATTAATTTTAGTTTTAAGTTCACATTTATTTTATTATTTTCATTATATTTCATTTCAATAATAACTCTTGCCCAACAGAAATCCGTTTAATCCGTTTTCTCATCAAATTTCTTGGAAGTTTCGCACCATATTCCATATTGATTAGAAAAAATACAGACTAAGCCCATTAGTCGTTTCACTTGTTGTGAAAATAACTTATTATTCATGATTCAAAGATTTTATTTTGCTTTTTTTTCCTTGCAGACAGGGTGTGAAATGGATCAAAAATCGTTTTGGCGATGCTCTGGTGGTAACCCGTCTTACGCAGAAAGGTTTCCTTGATACCTTAGAAAAAGCTATGCAAAAAGGTATTATCAAAATATATACAAATAATTTACAAAAAATATATACACGCAATTTGTCCATGGCTTCTAGGTAATACTGTTCTAATAGAACAAATAGAAGAAACAATAGATACCGTTCTTGAGCCACTATTAAGTCGCGCTTTGATTAAAAAGGGTCGCTATATACGTATTGGAGGCAAAGAAATGGATTTCAATCCGGACTTTCGTTTAATACTACACACAAAACTAGCTAATCCACACTACAAACCAGAAATTCAAGCACAAACCACACTTATTAATTTCACAGTAACACCAGATGGTTTAGAGGAGCAATTACTGGCTGAAGTTGTAAAAATTGAACGTCCTGATTTGGAACAGATGAAAATTGACGTAACCATACAGCAAAATAAAT